CCGCCGGCGCTTCCACCCCTTCTTCTGATTCGTTACGAGTAGTTATGGCGAAGACAGCTAGTGCGATCTAGAGGTGTATTTCGGCGACGTCCCCCCCCCCTTCGCCCCCCCCCCGTTCATGCCTCGACTAGTGTTATAATACTAGTAAAATGGCGGCCCCAAAATTTAAAAAAAAATTGGTCTACAGGCTTAAGAACGGGGCATTCCCTCCTGTGACTATCACACTGCCTGAAATTCCAGTGTAGGCAGGGGCACCACCCCCGACCACCATAGCACCGCCTCACTCAATATATCAAATCCCCCCCCCCATCTCCGAAAGCTAGATCCGCCCTGACACGCCGCTAAATCCTTTCCACTCACTTTCCGACTCGTTTACGAGGTAGGTTTCCGATAAGACAGTTCACCGTAGTCGCTGAAGTGGCTCTCACAGGCCGACTCGTTTACTAGGTACTGTAAATTCGCGAAAATTAAACCACCGCGAAATACACAGCGTACACAGTAGTTTCGGGTTAAACAGGGTAAATCACCGTAGTCCCTGAATGGGCTTTCGCAGTCCGACTCGTTCCACGTGTCCAGCTGGGGGAGCTGTCGAGGAGGAGTGGGGTTGAGAAGTGTGGGTTCCGTGGCCTCCATCTCAGCGTCGACCGCCTGCGACGCCAACAGGGACTGGTTCGCTAGAAATTAAAGCGACACATGACCCTAGATGCAGTGCTACCAGTGGACTAACCCCCTACTGTAGCATTTACTGTAAAAGCTCATCTCGGCCTCAGAGCGTACGAAACAGAGATAGGCAGCGCCCTAGCGCCTATTTCCACATAGCCGGCGAAGATGAACTTAACTTTAACATACCCTAATATTTTAAGGTCTACCATGTGTTTGCTTAAGCAACCGTGCGTGCAGACAGTGACTGGTTCACTGGAAATTAAAGCGAATTGTACCAGCTTCCCAATTTCGCAAATGACAATCCGGCATGAAATGCCAAAAACTCTGCACGTCCAACCATCGATAGCAACTATTTGTGAGATTAAAACAATGTCTAATTCAGCAATCGGCAATTCGGCAACTTGCCAACTCAAAGTGGCAGTTTGTTAAACAGCTTAAACGGTTAGCGTCTAACCCAAGCCTTTAATTCCATGTAAACCAGCCTTAAAGTCCGTAGTTTAAACCCAGCTTTAAGTTGTGCAGTGAAACCCAGCTTTAAGTTGCGGCAGTGAAACCCAGCTTTAATGTCGTAGTGCTTAACCCATCTCTCCTTTAAGATGCCCAGTGTAAACCCACTTTAATCGTAGTGTTAACCAAACTTTTAAGGGGTCCTGTCTTACCGTGTAACCCAGCCTTAAATCGTAGTGTAAACCCAGCTTAAAGTCAACCCAACGGTAGTGTTAACCCAGCTTTAAGCATGGACGCGCGTATATATAGCAAATATATGCGTACCGTAATCTCCCGTACCGGCCTGAATATAGACACTCCCAAGTCAGTCAGTGGGGGACGAGACGGGGCAACCCTGGTGCTTGACGCTCGATTTCAGCCGTGACATTGGAGCGTGCATGCACGCGGTGTTTTTCATATTATAGCATCATCACATGGACACGCACACGCACGCACTCACCTACGCGCGCACGCACGCACATACATCGACAGACGCACGCAATCTCGCACGCACACACGCACGTACATGGAAACACACACGCATGCACACATGCACGGCATATGGAAATGCAAGCACACGTACTCACGTACGCACGCACGTATATCGACACACACACGCATACGCACGCACTCACGCACGCACACGCACTCATGCACACACGCGCATAGATACGCACGCACGCATGCACGAGCGCACACACACACACACACACACACGCACGCACGCACGCACGCACCACGTACATGCACACGCGCACACCACACACAAGCACAAACACACACACACACGCAAAATGCCATGCACGCCTATGCTCGTTTGCAAATTGTATAGCTGCCTCGGCTTTTTCATATAAATCAATAAATCAATAAATAAATAAATGCGTTTGCTTATGCATGCAGCAAGGCAATGCTTTGCTTACCCTGGCCATCTTTCGTCATGCTGCGAATGAGTAATGAAGAGCAACGCAAGGCCAACTCCAGGGCATCCATCCAGCACTTGCCTGTAAAAGCCAGCGAGCGTGAGACCGCACGCCGTGCGACGCAAAAACATGAAGTAATGCGATCGATCGCTTACACACGCACGTACGCACGCAGCACACACACACACACACACACACACACACAGCGCACACGCACACGCACGCGCACGCGCACATGCACACGCACACACGCACGCGCACGCACGCACGCATGCACACACACATGCACACAGCGCACACGCACACACACACATATATATATATATCAGGGGTTAGTAATGACAAATAATAATCCCCTGATATATATATATATATATATATATATATATATATATATA